TGACTGAAGCTGGAGTGCCCCGGGGTGTGAGGCGAGAGGAAGAGGAAGAGGAGGAGCCTTTCTGTACATTTCTACTCTCAGCTCCATCACCTCGGGGCAGGAGGTTTTCCACTTCATTCTTTCTTTCCTCCTTATTCTTGGATAAATAAACAGCCTGTGAGCACAGAGGCAGTCTGGCTTGGTGTCTGTGTTTTGTGCATTGGCCTTTGGGTCATGTGGTGGTCCCTGAAGTCCCAAGATGGAGCAGACCCAAGACTGGGGCCCCTTTTTGGGGAGAAAAGCAGGCCTTTAACCACAGTGTCAAAGAGAGAGTGTATTGGTTAGTGTTGTATGACAAATTACCCCAAAATTTAGCAGCTTAAAACAACAAATGTATTCTTTCAAGTACTGTAGATGAGGAATTTGAGAAGGGCTATGCTGAGTTTTCCTTGTCTCAGGGTAGGTCATGAGATTATAGTCAATATGTTGACTGGGGCTGTATTCTTCTGAAGGCTTGACTGGGGCTAGAGGATCTGTTTCCAATATTGCTCATTCATTGCTATTGGCAGGAAGCCCCAGTTCCTCACCACATGGACCTAACCATAGGGCTGCTTGAGTGTGCTCATGACAAGGCAGCTGGCTTCCCCCAGAGTGAGTGACACAGAAGAGAGGGCCAAGAGCAATCCACCATGCCTTTTATGAGCCAGTCTTAGATGTCACATACTGTCACTTCTGCTTTATTCTATTCATTAGGAGTGAGTCAGTGAGCCCAGCACACACTCAAGGGGAGGGGAACTTTTTCCATCTCTTGAACAAAAAGAATGTTAATGACTTTGTGGACCTATTTTTAAACCATCATAGAGAATCTTAGGCTCCTTTCCTGCAGAAGGGAGGACACTTGGAGCTGCTTAGTGGAACGTCCTTTGGAAGTTGTACTATGTTGGCTGGATGTGAGTTTGCCATGTTTACAACAACCTCCTTGCTTGCATTGTCCAGAAAATCACAGTGACAACAGTAATGATAGCTTACATTTAAAGTGTCTGCCAGACACTATGTACATGCATTTTCTCCCTGGATCCTTGCCACACATCTTTGTGGTAGGCACAATGATCCATTTCACAAGTAAGAAAGCTGGGATTTAGAGGGGGAGAGTGACTTGCCCAAAGTCACACAGCTACGAAATGTCTGAGCTTGAATTTTCAAAGTAAGTCTTTCTGACTTTAAGCCCTTGTTCACCTTACAGACTTTCTGGCTCTGCACTATTCATTAGGAATATAATGTGAGCCACATATGTAATTGTAAATTTTCTAGTAGCCACATTCAAAAAAGAAAATAATTTTAATAATATAGTTATTTATTTTTAAAGATTTTATTTGTTTATTTTTAGACAGAGAGGAAGGGAGGGAAAAAGAGAGGGAGAGAAACATCAATGTGTGATTGTCTCTCGTACGCCCCTTACTGGGGAACTGGCCCGCAACCCAGGCATGTGCCCTGACCAGGAACCGAACCAGTGACCCTTTGGTTCGCAGGCCAGCACTCAATCCACTGAGCCACACCAGCCAGGGCAATTTTAATAATATATTTAATTTAACCCAACAGATCTAGAATATCACTTCAACACATAATTTAATAATTTATTAATGAAGTGTTTTACATTCTTTTTCTTGTATTAAGTCTTTGAAATCTGGTGTATATCTTACACCTATGCACATCTCTACTTAGATGCCAAATTTTCATAGGAAAAACTTGATTTGTATTTAGATTTCATAAAATTTACAGTTTCAAAAACTAGATTCACATACCTAACTTCTTCTAAATGTACCAAAGTTTTCCAATAATTAAATTAGTGTCAGTTCTTATATTGAAATTAATTTAAATTCAGTTTCCCATTCACACTAGCTGCATATCAAGGGGTCAGTAGCCACATGTGGCTAGAGGCTAATTGTACAATACTAGGCTAAGCAGTTCTGATCAAGTCTCCCCATGAGGAAACAGGCCCACATGAAGTCATATAACAAGCCAGGGCCAGAGCTTGTTCTAGAAACCTGGGGAAATGCAGGTAAGCAGAGAGATTTCAGCCCTGCCCACCCATCCATCCATCTGCCTATCCATCTGTTAATCCATGCTTTTTTTAATTGATGAGGGAGGGAGGGATGAGAGGGAGGGAGAGACAGAGATGTAGAGGGAGAGGGAGGAGGAGAGAAACATTGTTCCACTTATTTATACATTCATTGGTTGACTTTTGTATGTGCCGTGACTGGGAATTGAACCGGCAACTTTGGGATATTGGGATGATGCTCTAACCAACTGAGCTACCCTCCAGGACCTGTTAATCCACACTTCATCATAGAGATATCTAGGGCTTAGCTACTCTGTGCTTGTCCTTGGGACCAGGAGCTGATTTTCTGGTAGCCAGACTGACAGGTCTCCATGCACAGGGTAAAGAAAGTCAGCACCTCTCACAATCAAATGTGTGACTCAGATTGGACAGACATATGGAAATAGCAGAGAGGCTAGTGGGGATCTGACCTGCTCTAGGGGGTTAGAGTAGGTTTCAAAAGGAGACCTGAAGCTGATGTCCATCTGAAGGGGCATGCTCAAGGTCAGCTGCTACTGCAATAATGCTGTGGAAAAAACAACACAATCTCAGTGGCCATAGCAACAGCATTTATTTTTATGCTCCTGAGGCTTCGTGTTGATTGTGGTTTGACTATTAGAAGCTGAGTTTGGCTGGGTGGTTTTGATCCAAATTGTGGGTAGGGCTCAGGTCTACTCTATGTTTGTTCCTTCTGGAGCCCAGGATGAAGGATATAAGCTCTTAGGGCAGGCTCTTCTTATGGCAAATCACTGGAGTTCAAAGACAAACAAACTGCACAAGCACATTTATATCCTCTTGCATTCTATCCACTCATTCCTTTGGCTAAAACAAGTCGTGTGACTGAGCCTGACAACAGTGGGGAAGAAGGAGGGTAGGAGTAATTGCTCAGTAGCAATTAGAATGATCATCAACCAGTAGAAGTTAGGCTGAAGAAGTAATAGAATCCTAAGTGACAGATCCCAATGTGGGATGGAACATGGTGCTCCCAAACACCTGGAATCTGGGGCTTTGTTTTTGTCATCTTCATTGCTCAAGACACAACGCTGTATGACTCCACAACTGAAAGTGCACCCTTGTGGTTGGACTGTGGTGGGTGATGGTCCCTGGCTCCCATGTGGGCCAGCATGTGTATGGGGCAGGATACTAGGGATGTTAGAAATGACTGTTGAGTGTGTGAATGTGTGTGTGTGTAGGAGGGGGCAGCATAACAGGCACCAGAGAACATCCCTCATGCTGCCAGCTTTGCCCCATGGGTAATTAGAACTGGCAAAAGAGTGGCTCCAACATTCTCTTACCTGCTGCCTCCTACTCTGGCCACAAAGGGAGAAGGTGACACCTCCCCATAGGACTGCTAGGGTGAAGGTCCAGATTTGAAAGAGCACATTTCTAAGAGACTAGGAGACCCGGGTTCACATCCTAACTCTTCACTGACTTCCATGTTGGAAGCCCTAAAAAGTGGCTTTCTACCAGCTCTAAAATTCCTCTCTCTTGTGATTCTGAGGACAAAACTGAGAGTAAAGAGGGAAGGGCCATGGTGAAGTAATAAGTAGGACTTGAACCAGGGAACTGCTGTGCCTGGAAGGACAGGGTCCGTGCTTAGAGGTCACCAGAGAAGGAGAAGGAATGTTTTCTTCCCTCAGTTCCCTCTGAAGAGATGATATTTAAGCTGAGACATAAAGGATGAGGGACCAGCCATAAAACAACTTGGGAGAACATCCCAGAAAGATAATAGTAAGTACAAATGCTCTGAGATAAACATGTGCTTGGGGTATTGAAGGTATAAAATAAAATCGTGTAGTTGCAGTATAGTCAGCTAGAGAGACCATACTAGAAGTGAGTAGTAAGAAGTGGTTGGAGAAGTGGAAGTGAGCAGAGGTCAGATCATGCAGTTTCTAGGACAGACTAGGAATTCTGAATTTATTGCAAAGATAATGCAAGTCACTTTGAGTTTTCGGCAGAGGAGTGATGTGATCTGAGTTAACAAAACAAATAAACCCTTTTAGGCTCTGTATGGTAAGTAGTCTTAAGGAGACAAGGGCAAGGCCAGAACAGAAAAATGGGGAGCGGTCAGATTGGAGACATTTTGAAGTTAGTCCTGACAGGAGGATTTGCTGACAGATTGAGTGTAGAGATTGAGGGAAATGAAAATGACTCCTCAGTTTCTCCTAGTGCAACTGGGAGGATGCTTGTGTAATTCACTGAGATGGGTACGAACTGGGCAGGAACAGGTTTTTGGGTGAGGATGTGTGTGGAAATGAAGAGTTCTGTATCAAGTCAGAAGCTGTTATTAGATACCTTAAGGGGGGGTGCAGCTTAGGCCCCTGAACTATGGATCTGTAATTCCAGCAGGGGGTGCAAGCTAGATACTTGAATCTAGAAGTCTTTAACCTATAGCACGAGGCGGTGCAATAGAGAATGTGAGTCACGCATGTAATTTAAAATTTCACAGTAGCCATATTAAAAAGTAAAAAGAAACAGGTGAAATTAACACTTAATCCAATATATGCCAAATATTATTTCAACAAAAGAATCAATATATAAGTTATTGATGAGACATTTTTCCTTCATTCGTCGACATCCAGTGTGTATTTCCCATTTAGAGCCCATTTAATTCGCACTCACATTTCTAGCGCTCACTTGCCACTTGCCGGCTACTGGCTACCGTGTGGTTCAAAGAACAGTGGAGGTTTTTCAAAGCAAGGAGCCTGGGTCAGGGCGCATACAAGAATAACCAATGAATGTATGAATGGGTGAAGCAACATCTTGGTGTTTCTCTCCAGAATCAATTAAAAAAAAATTAAAAACAAAGGCGGGAGCCTGGATCCACACGGACCTTAGCAGAGGAGGTACCTCCGTTGGAACCGCCCGGACGGAAGTCGCGGAGGAACGGAAGTCGCGCGTGTGCGCGCGCGCAGCCGCGGACGGGTGAGAGGGCAACCCTGCGCGCTGAGAGAAGCCTCTGCAGCGCTGCGCTGGGCGCTCAAGCTGCGGGAGGTGAGCGGCGCGCCGTGTGAAGTAGGCCTGCTCACGCGCCCACGGTCCGCGCCGGGGCGGGAGGGGCGGCTGAGGTCCGGCAATGCGCGGTGTTCGAGGGGAGCGTGGCGCGGTGGTCGCAGCGCAGACCCTGGTGTCAGACTCTCTGGGTTTGCACCCCAGTCCCGCTGCCTACTCACTTGTGACCTTAGGCAGGTCAGCCTTGTTCACCCCGAGCCTTAGCTTCGTCAGCTGTGAAGTGGGGGGATGATAGTAGAATCTGCCTCACGGAGTTGCAGTGAGGATTAACTGGTAATCAATGGGACACGCCCGGCACGTTGTAACCACCCAGTAAAATGTTCGGGAGGCTTTATTGTTTATATTTATTAATACTGAGGTGAGGCTGTTGTCTCATGGTTTTTGCCGACTACCAATTAATTTCTGAACGCCCCCCCCTTCACCCCCGCCAGAGTCCTCTACATTGTGCTATGTGAGCATTTTATTTGTGTTAACACATTTGATCCTTACAACAGACATGGTAGGTACTACTACCCCTGTTTTACACATGAAGAAAGGAAGCTCCCAGAGTTTAAGAAGCTCCCAGGTGCCCAAAGTTCCCCGGTTGGGGAGTATTAGGGTCAGACTCTAACTCTAGGGTCTTAACCACAATGCTCTATACTCACCATGAGAAGGGGTGTGGGCTGCAGATGTGAAGTTACGGAAAATTTACCGTTTGCCAAGTTGGGATTTAAAAAATCCTCTTTAATTCTTGCAACATCCCTGGGAGGTAGATAATACTTTTATCCTTATTTCACAGCTCAGGGTCAGGAATTTGACCTCAAGGTCACATAACAAGTAAGGGGCAGAAACTGGTGACTTTAAGGCTCACACTAAAAGTTTGCTGTTCTGTGACACTTGAAAGTAGGTCAGCACTGCTTCTGCCTCAAGTACAGGTAGCACAAACAGCAGCTGATCAGCTTGGAGAGGTAACAGGGCGCATCTGCTCATTTTACATGTTCAGCACATGCTGTGGATATGAATGAGATTTGTTTCTTGCTTTCAGGGACCTCTCAGCTTATAAGAAATGGGAAAGTATTAAGTAGTAACAGCGAAGGGTATGACTCTTGTAGAGAGTTATAAGGAGGCTTTGGGAACCTAGAGGAGGACCCCCCCACCTAGATTTTGAGGGTGATGGTCAGAAGCAGAGACCTAAAAAGTAGCGTAGGAGTTGGCCAAGTCAGTAGAGAGAAGAAATACCAGCCAGAGAGAACAGCACGAGTAAAAGCCTAGGAAACTAGTGAAAATAATTATAAGGATGTTTGGTATGGTTGGAGTGAGGCAGTCCATTAAGAGTACATGGTGGAAAGTCTGTCTCCAAATTAAAAAAAAAAATTATTTATTGACATCAATTTGTTGTTCCACTTACTGATGCATTCATTGATTCCTTCTTGTATGTGCCCTGATTGGGGATTGAACCTGCAACCTTGGTGTATTGGGATGATGCTCTAACCAACTGAACAACCCTGCCAGGGCTCCGAGTCTTGTACTTTGAGCCACCTGGGTTTATACCCGGGAGGCTGTCACTGTTTCTTATGCATTCTAGAGATAACTGTGTGCACTTACATGTACCTTAATGTTCCCACCTCCCTTCCTCCACAGATTCAGTACAGCATACTATAGGTAGTATCTAGAGCTTTGCTTCCTTGCTTTTGTCATGTATAGATTCAGCTTCACTTTCTAACAGTTGCATCTTATTCCATTGTGTGGATGTACTGTGACTTACTTAACCAGTCCCCTATTGATGATAGTTAGATCTCTTTCATTCTTTTGCTATTAAAAACACTGCTGCAACAAATATACATAGGTCATTTTGCACATGTCAGGGTATATCTGTGGGATAAATATGTAGGAATGGAACTGCTTGGTCAAAGGATTTGCGTGTGTGTAATTTTGATGGAAAGTGGTAAATTGCCTTCTGTAAAGGTGGTGCCTTTTTCCATCCCTCCAACCATGGGTGGGGAGTTTGAAGGCAGTAACCTTGGACTCTTCAAGGGTAGGAGTCGTCACTGATCAGGCATAATGGTGCCTCGTGTTAGATATAGATATATTCTTTTTGAAGGAACTCAAAGAAAGATGCCTTCAGAGAGTAAGTGGTTTTCACAGTATTGGGAGGCAGTATAGCAAGGTAGCCAGCTCTGCTGCTTTCTGCTGTGGGAGCCAGATAAGTACCTCTCAGCCTTTTTGTGCCTTTCCTCATCTCTGAACGGCATAATCATAGTGTCCGTTGCCTATATTACGTAGGATTGCTGTGAAGATTTAAAGAGTTAATATGCTTAAAGCCTTTGGAATTGTTCCTGCACAAAGTGCTACTTTATTTTGTCAGGGCTTCTCATCTCATCTCTACCACCCCTTGGTTTTGCAAACAGATTGCCTGGATTTGCGTAGCATCTCTGGCACTCCTTGTGTGACCTTGGGCAAGTTGCCTCAGTTTTTTTCACCTGTAAAAATAGGGATACTGTTGTTAAAAGTATCTTCTTCTTGGGTTTTTGTGAGGATTGAATGTATTAATACCTTTGAAGTACTTATAGTGTCCTGTACACAATGTTCAAAAATATTGATGATGCCTGTCGTTCTTTTGCAGACTTTAGGCTGTTTTAGTGCCATGCATCATTTACAGTGTGTCCTCCACGCACAGAGGTATCTGGGGTGGGGGCCACTGGCCTCTGTGTCCTGGCTGCTGCTCCGGACCTGCAGGGCACACAGCACTTTCTCCACCACCACATGTCCCAGTCCGGAAGGGCTGCAGGAAGATGGAGTTAGGAAGGATTTCAGCTCCAGACTGGCCACTGGACCAACCTTTCAGCATTTTTTAAGAAGTGCTTCAGTTCCTCAAGAGAAGCTGTCTTCTCCAGATGCGGTGGACCCTCCCCCATATCTCACAGTGGATGAACTTTTAGGAAGGCAGAGGAAAGGTTGGTTTTACTTTTTGTCTCTCTTTGGGCTTTCTGCTATTCTTTTTCCCAGCATCCATGGCCTGATTCTTAACAGTTCTTTTATTACAGACCTGGCTTTGGAGTGTTAATAGGGTGAGAAGGCTCGCTAAATTATGGAATCATCAAACTCCACCAAGTAACATTAATATAAAGAAACTTACATTGTTGATACACATGCCCGGGATAGGGGTAGAGTTCTGATAGTTCTCTCTTTGGTTACCTTTGAAAACCCTGCAATTTCTGTTCTAATTTTTAGTTTGTTTGAAGTTATAAAGCAGCTTTCACAATTGGTGCTGTAGAAATTCACTCTTCATGTTTAGGCAGAGGTTTTCTTAGAAACATTATACAATCAATTAAATGCCTTAAAAAAGTTTGGAGAGAAATTAAGGGACAATCAGACTGTTCCGTGTTTACCTTGTTTCAGAAAACATTTTCCCTTTATAATTCTTTAAAAAAAAAGTTTTATTTATTGTTTTGAGAGAGAGCGAGAACCATTAGTTTCTTGCTTCAGTTATTTATGCATTAATTGTTTGCTTCTTGTGTAGCCCTTACTGGGGATCATACCTGAAAAGCCTTGGTATATTGGGATGATACTTTAACCAACTGAGCTATCCAGCCAGGGCTCCCTTTATAATTCTTAAAGATTTGGTTGCCATCATAAGGTAAAAATTATTTGTAACTTGTTTTCATTTAACGTTTCCCCATATACTACATTATTCATAATTAAAATTTTAAAAATTGGTACAAAATATCAGATTGTGTGGTACCATGATGTTTTCCAACCTGCACTCTATAGTTGGAAATTAGGTTGTTTGAAAATTTTTATATTATAAATAATACTATAAGTGTCTCATCTATATCTATGTCTATGTCTTTATATCTGTCTCCATATAGAGAGAGAGAGAGATAGATAGATATTGCTTCTGTTAAATTTTTTTTCCCAGAATAAATCTCTAGGAGTTGAATTAGTAAATCACAGAGTATGTATGCCTTGTGACCTCTCCTAGGTTTTTTAAAGTCCTTTATAATTTGTTTCCTTCAGTCCCTCTCTGGTGGTTTCTTTTTTTAGACAAGGAAAGTGAGCCAAGGAAAGTTTTTAAAAAATCCTGATCTTTCCTTTTCCCTCCCTCCCTTCATGTTTTCCCCTCTCCTTTTCTCTCTTTTAAAATTACTGCTATTTTCTATTCATTTTTATGTAATTCTTTGTTGTTCAACTTTTAAAAAGATTTTATTTATTTTTAGAGAGGGAGAAAGAGAGGGAGAGAAATATCAATGTGTGAGAGATACATGGGTCGGTTGGATGCCTCTCCTGCACTCCCATGCTCCCAGCTGGCCTGCAACCCAGGCATGTGCCCTGACTGGGAATCAAACCCGCGACCTTTTTGGTTCACAGGCCGGCACTCAATCCACTGAGCTACATAGGCCAGAGTTCAACTTTTTATTTAGAATTTATTTGAGTCTGTGAATTAAAGTGTGCTGGTGAGGGCAGGGGTTGATACAGGAATTTAGTTTGAAGGGGCTAGCCCGAGGGTGAAGTTGCCATTCTTAAAATGCGGTGCAAATGTGTTTTATGTCATTATAACTATGCTTGCGTTCATTTAAGATGTTTGAAGTTACTGTAGGTATCATCTTTATTTTGTGGCTTTATGTACCCTCTTGCTTCTGTTACTACCTCCAGAGGTTGGACAACCTCATTGGAGAAGGAGGAGTATAATATATGGATTTAAATTTTCCTCTATCCCTGGCTAGTGTGGCTCAGTCGCTTGAGTTCTGGCCTGCGAACTGAAAGATTGCTGGTTTGATTCCCAGTCAGGGCACATGCCTGGGTTGCAGGCCAGGTCCTCAGCGGGTGGCGTGTGAGAGGCAACCAATCCACATCGATGTTTCTCTCCCTCTTTTTCTCCCTCCCTTCTCCTCTCTAAAAAATTTTTTTTTATTTTTCCTCTAAGTTGATAATCAATGCTGTCAGCTAATCCCTCCTTTTCTAATAGTTTTTATAACCATATTTCCTTGTTTCTTACGTGCATGTTTTCCCTGTATTTTAAATGACATGGCCTATAGTTGGTGTATGTAAAAGATGTAGTATTTCTTTTGTTCTGAAAGGCTGTTAATTTTGTGGTACATCTGTAATTAATGGTATCTTAGAATTGAGGCAACTGGGGACTTAATGGGTAACCAGTTGCACCAAATATTTCTGGGGCATTTGCAAAGGAGACTTTTTGAGGTACGTGATCCCTTTTGCCTGCCTACCATGGAACCCCCTCTCTTTGTAGTCTACCTTGAGACCTATGGCTGCCAGATGAATGTGAATGACACAGAGATTGCCTGGTCCATCTTACAGAAGAGTGGCTACCTGCGGACCCGTAATCTCCAAGAGGTACACGTATTTCCTGTTTCCCTATGTTCCCTGGGCCTGGGCAAGACTCCACATTTGTGCCAGTTCTTAGGTGCAGTTTCAGGAACAGGGTATGACCTGCAGAGAGTGAATTCTTGAGTAAAGTGTATAGCATGGGACCGAAGTGTACATTTATTTCATTATTTTTGAAAATTTTATGGGTACTCACTTTCAGGCAAGGAACGAAGATAACAATGGACTGCATGTCCTGACTGGCATGGCTCAGTTGTTTGAGCATCGTCCTGCAAAGCAAAAGGTCAATGGTTTCTGTCCTGGTCAGGGTACATGCCTGGGTTGTGGGCCTGGCCCCTGGTCGGGGCATGGGTGAAAGGCAACCAATTGATGACTTCTCTCTCTCTTTCTCCCTTCCCCCCTCTCTAAAAATAAATAAATAAAATCTTCTGTAAAAAAAAGAAGAAGGGATTCTTTAAAAAAAATGGATTGCAAGGAGTTGGGGATGGAAATTAGTGTTGAATGGGCACAGAGTTTTATTTGGGGCAGATGAAATAATTCTGGAAGGTTAATAGTGGAGATGGTTGCATGACAATCAGAATGTATTTAATGCTAGTAAACTGCACACTTAAAATTGGTTAAAATGGTAAATGTTATGTATGTTTTTCCACAATAAAAAAGAAGGGCCATGGATGATGATTTTACAAGTCTAATTTCGAAGATCATAATTTTCTTTTTTTTCCTTGCTCTCCACTCAGGCTGATGTGATCCTTCTTGTCACATGTTCTATCAGGTGGGAATTCGTTCTTTACCTAAGAACAAATATATCTTATATAATAATGCCAGATCTAACAGTGTCAGGAGACGAACCAGTGGATTTGTAGTTTTATGCAGTGCAGACACTAATGGTAGAACTGGTCAACAGTTGCTGAACATGTGCTGTTTTTCAGGTCCTGTGCTGAGTACAAAACATGCACTGAGTAATTCTCACAATACCTCTGTGAAGTAGGTGATGTTCATACCCATTGTATAGATGAGGAAACAGAGTGTGCTGAGTTACTCAACTTTTCCTAAGTTTTTTTCTTGTAGCTAATGGCACATGTTTATGATGTTGTTCACATCATTAGGACTAGGGTGCAGCATTAGGTCTGGGGGACAGTTCTGAGCAGAGATGAGTGGCACCCATCAGAAGTAAATATACTCTATTTTGTACTTTGTTTCTATGTACAAGGCATGTTAATGTTAACGTTTCCTCAGATGTCTGTACAATCAATTAATCCAGCGTTTTTGTTCTGAGGGTCTCTGCTACAAGACACAGAACTAGGTGCTTTGGAAGATTCAGAAATGAACCCTTCCTTCACAGAGTCTGGCTTTAAGGAGGTTAGTCTGATCTGGGAACTAGGACAGATGCACAAATAGATCCCATATCTGGTGAAAAGCACTAGGTGAAAAAAATCAAACAATAAAAATGATAAATGCTAAGTATGGGAAAAGTATAGTTAAAGTGATATGGTAGTTAAAAGCAAGGAGAATAAACTCTCCAGCAGTAAAGTTGGGGAAGGCTTCATGAAACAGATTGTTTTTGAGTTTGGCTTAAGGGCTTGTCAGGATTTCAAGGTGGGCAGGAAGGGCATCATTCTAGGATTATTAGAGCAAGTGTTGCTTCTTCATTTAGCTCCCTGCCTACCTTCTGTAAGCCTAAAGGTTAGGTATTCATTTAAAGCATTGAAGGTTTTTATTCTATTCCCATTGTTCTACCCTTTTAGATTGCTCTGTAGTTTATTTGCAGGTTCAGGTCTACCTGTTGATCTCTGTAGGGAGAAGGCTGAACAGACCATCTGGAATCGTTTACATCAGCTTAAAGCCCTGAAGAAAAAACGGCTCCGTTCCCGAGTACCTCTGAAGATTGGGATTCTAGGTATCTGATAATTTGCAAATTTTGTGAGTTTCAAGACTTGGGCTCCATGTAGCTTTCTGTGCCAGGGTTTCCCTTAGAGTCCAGATTTCCAATGTGTGAAAAAAATCTTATATACCCTGTGCAACTCTTGTACTTAATGTTAGAAGCTGTAGAATTAAATGAGATAAAGCCCACAAAAGGTCTTTTCATAGTACCTTGAAGTGACAGGTACTCAGAAAGTGATCTATCCTTCCTGGAGTCTAATGTGGCTCATAGTGGCAGAGTTATGGATAGGACAGCATTTAGAGTCTGAGGGGTCAGCAAGCATAACTATACAGTGTAGGCACGTTTCATCTTGACTCCTGAAGTATGCCTAAGAGAAGATCTAGATCTGTACTGATCAATATTGTAGCCAGTAGCCACATGTGGTTATTTGAATTTAATTAAACTTAAATAATACTAAAAATTTACTTTTTTAGTCTCACTAGCCATATAGTGACTTCTCAGTAGCCACACTTGACTGGTGGTTACCAGTTTGAACAGGACAGATAAAGAACATTTCTATCATCTTAAAAGTTCTACTGGAGAGCTCTGATCTAGATAGCTAGGAAGCATATTTTAAAAATAAATATTCTATACCCTGTTGTTTCTAGAATTTAGTTAATATACTTAACCTTAGAACAGAATATGTCCCTTTAGAATATTTAATCCCTTTTGATGATGGTTCAAAACATGGTTAGAGCATATCCTGTGGTACAGATTAATGTATTAAGTGATACAGGAGGATGGAAGGATTAGCTGAAATGTTTTGTTCCATTTCAGTTCCTTCATTACAGAAGTCCCTGGGTAAATATTGGTTGGGAATTTTAGAACTCCCCAAAAGAGGTTTTTAATGGTAAAATGTATAACATAAAATTTACCATTTTAACCCTTTTTAAATGTACATTTCAGTGCCATCAAGTACAATCACATTGCTGTGCAACCATCACCACCACCCATTTTCAGAACTTTTTCACCTCCCCAAACTGACACTCTGTACCGTTAAATGATAACTTGCCATCCCCCTCTCACCTCAGCCCCCGGCAACCACCACTCTACTTTCTGCCTCTATGGGTTTGACTACTCTAGGGACCTCATGTAAGTAGAGTCATACAATATTTATCCTTTGGGGACTGACTTATTTCACTTAGAATAATGTTGTCAATTATGTGCCAGAATTTCCTCTTTTTTTTTTTTTTTAAAGAGGAGATTTTGTTTGTTTATTTTTAGAGGGGAAAGGAGGGAGAAAGAGAGGGAGACATATCAACGTGAGAGGGAAACATCAACTAGCCACCTCTTGTAGGCCCCCCATCCAGGGGCTGCACCTACACGCCCCCACCGGGGAGTAAACTTGCAACCTAGGCGTGTGCCCCGACCAGAATCAAACCTGTTACATTTTGGTTTATGGGACAATGCTCCAACCAAGTGAGCCACATCAACCAGGGCAGAATTTCCTTTCTTTTTAAGGCTGAATAATATTCCACTGATGGACATTTGGGTTGCTTTCACCTGTTGGCTGTTGTGAATGTTGCTGCTACGAACAAGGGTTCTTAAAGAAGTATTGTCAAAGGATCTTTGTAATAAAATGGACTTTTTATTAATCTCATAGTCTTACTAATAAAAAGGGTTTTTTAGGATATGGAAGACACCAGCATGGATGGTTAATTCATTTCTTACAGGTTTTAGCAAGTATTATGGGCAAGAAGAGGGATAAAAGAGTGTAAATGCAGTTGTATATTAAATTTTATTTTTAAAAATACTGATGCAAAATATTTTTTATTTTTAGCAATGAGTAATTTTCAATTGAAAAAAAGGTGGTTCACGTCTAGAAAGGTTTTTGGGTAGTGGTTTAATTTTTCCAGGCATTTAACTGAATTGCTTTTGAGCCCTTTTCCTTGTTATCTTGTGTAGGAAGATGGAGGTTCCAGTGCTATGGAAGTGTTGGGCAAGTTTGGGGGATGATGCTAAACTTTCAGAGAAGTTTCTGCGCCCTGGTCTCCAGTGCAACTGTAGATAATGTATAGTAAGAAGACATGAGACCATATGAATTCAGGAACAGGTGTTTATTTCTTTTCCCTTCCAGGTTGCATGGCTGAGAGATTGAAGGAAGAGATCCTCAATAGGGAGAAAATAGTGGATGTGTTGGCTGGTCCAGATGCCTATCGGGACCTTCCTCGGCTGCTGGCTGTTGCGGAGTCAGGCCAGCAAGCTGCCAATGTACTGCTCTCCCTGGATGAGACCTATGCCGATGTCATGCCAGTCCAGACGAGCCCCAGTGCTCCTTCTGCTTTTGTGTGAGTTACCGACCGAGAGATAGAGTCAATTTCTTCTTTCTCACTTTTAAAATAACTTGTTAAGCCCTGGACAGTGTGGCTTAGTTGGTTGGAGTGTTGTCCAGTAACCAAAAGGTTGCAGTTTTGATTCCTAGTCAGGGCACATACCTGGGTTGCAGGGTTCAATCCCCTGATTCAGGCGTGTGAGATTCCTAGTCTGGGTGCATGACGAAGGCAAACAATCAATGCATCTCTCTCACGTTGATGTTTTTCTTCCTACCTCTCTGTCTAAAAGCAATGAAAAAATGTCTTTGGATGAGGATTTAAAAGAAATTAAAATAACATGTTAACGTTATCACATTAAAAAATTTAATATATGTACACAGTACAAAAGATAAAAAAATGATATATAAGACTCCTTTATATCTACCGTCCCCATTCTCCTAGGCCACCTCTCATAGGTGGTGTGTCAGTTGTTTTATTTTTATTAATTGATTTTAGAGAGGGGAAGGAAGGGAGGGAGAGAGGGGAAGGGAGGAGAGAGAGAGAGAGGGAAGAAACATCGATTTGTTGCTCTACTTATTTTTTTGCATTCATTGGTTGCTTCTTGTATGTGTCCAGACTGGAGAGCAAACTCACAACCTTGGCATATTGGGATGATGCTCTAACCAGATGCGTTACTTGGCCAGGGTCTAGTTGTTTCTTGTATAATTCTTTGAGAAGTGTTTTTTGCATATGTATTCGTGTACATAAAATGAGGTCTTTCCTATCCTGCCTTCTATACTCTTATTTTTTTCACTTAAGAAGATATCTTCAACTTTCCTGATTCTCTTATTCTCTTCCCTGATCTCTTTAAATTAAAAAAAAAAAAAAATGGTTGACAAAATAGTTTATATTTGTTGAAGAATATGGTTTGGTTCATATCCTGGGGTTAAAGGTTAGTTTTTAAAGATAAAAAAATGCCTGCCTTGGTTCTTCTTAGATTGGTCCAGTGTGAGCATGTTGCCAAGAGAATTTAGAGCCAAAGGATAATGCCAAGGGAGCTGTGACCTGCTTCTTCAGTTGGACCAAGACATCCTGCAGCTTTTATTAAGTTCTTGTGTTTTCTTTTCCAGGTCTATCATGAGAGGCTGTGACAACATGTGCAGCTACTGCATTGTTCCTTTCACACGTGGCCGGGAGAGGAGTCGGCCTGTTGCCTCCATTCTAGAGGAAGTGAGAAAGCTTTCTGAGCAGGTAAGAAGTTCTCCAGGCTTTCTTACAGAGAGCGGGTTTGTGGGAGGATTAGGACAATTTTCTAGTTTTACAGTTTGTGCTATCTTGAAGCTGTACTAATTTAGAACTATACCTGGTCAGAAAGAAAAGCCTGGGTATACATCTTTGGTTTCCTGCCCACAAATTATAGGCAGATCTGCTGTGAAGTTTGCTTATGAGGAACACAGTAGAATGGAGAGAGCAGGAGAGTGTGAGTTTAGAATCAGATAATTGAGTATGAATCCTGGCTCCACCTCTCTCTGGCTTGGTGTCCTGGCACTTGTCTTTTAACTACCTTTTTAGAAACAGTTTCCCCATCTATGAAAGAGCATAAAATAATACCTTTGCTTCCAGGTTATTGGAAAGATATGGTAGTTTAAATGTTTTTAAACTACCTGGCATGTAGTAATTTTTTTACAGGATGATTTATTTTATTAGTCTGTCTATTCTAGGGAAACCTCCCAAATCTCTTGTTCTTTTTACCATGGATCAGCTCACAGAGAATAGACGAGGATGGTGAATCAGATCAGGCTAGAGGGGAGAGATACCTTCCTCCTATTGGGAGCTGATCCCTCAACCCTTAAGGCCGTCTCTCCTTACTCCTAGGCCCAAATCTTCTAGCTGAGCAGAATAGGACAGTAGGTAGGAATGCGGAGCTTTTCTTCAGCTAGAATTTTCCTCTTTGCTTGCTTGGTTCAGGAGCCAAGGGAGGCTAGCTCTTGCTCCAGTTCTAAGTCAGCAGGTTGCCTTTGTTCTTTGTTCCCCTTTTTAAAAGACGTTATTTATTTGTTTTTAGAGAGAGGGGAAGGGAAGGAGAAAGAGAGGAAGAGAAACATCCATGTGAGAGAGAAATATCAGTTGGTTGCCTCTTGTATGTGCCCCAACTGGGGACTGAACCAGCAATCCAGACATGTGCCCTGACCAGGAATTGAACTGGCAACATTTCTCTTTATCTTGTGATGCCCAGTCAGCTAAGCCACACCCGGCAGAGCTGCCTTTGTTCATAATCTCTGGCAATGCTGTCTTCTTTTTCCTCCATCCCCAGATTCTCACTTTCCTGGTTTGGTCCCTGGCTGTTCACACAGGTACTGTGAGGTATTCTCCATATCCTACTTCTCTAAGTGCTTCCTGGTCTAAATTGTCTCCTTCCTCTCCCTTTCCATCTTCCTCACAGTACCAAAACTCGCTCTCTCAGCATAGAGACGTTCTGTGTAAGTAGATTGAGGTGATGGCAAAAACACCCTAATCTTTCTAAGGTATTTGCATATAAAAGAAGGAACTTAACGTTAAGGTGAATCTTAGTGAATTCGGAGCCCAAAATTTTTCTTGTGAAAAATTATGATTCTACGTTGTGTTTTAAAGTATCTGTTAGTCATTTATTTTACTTATAGAGTAACTTTTTAAAAGATGTTTCTTTCATTTAGATTTTTAAGCTACAGTTGCAAAGAGAATAGGCTATTGTTTCTTCAGCACAGCGAATATCAACCTTTTTCATCTCATGGCACACATAAATTAATTACTAAAATTCTGTGGCACACTGAAAAAACATATTATGCTGATCTGACAAAAAAATAGATACCATTTTCATTCATTCATACCAGATGGCTATTGTTGGGCTAGCTGTTGTTATTTTTTAATTTGACAATCTAAGGGAAAAGAGGTCAGTGTCCCTGACTAAATAGTCAGGTATTGCATGTTTTTAAAATTCTTAAAAAAACCCCAAACATTTTATCTATTTATTTTTAGAGAGGGGAAGGGTGGGAGAACGAGAGGGAGGGAAACATCAACGGATGGTTGCCTTTTGCGCGCCCCCTACTGGGGACCTAGCCTGCAACCCAGGCATGTGCCCTAGAGTGGGAATCAAACCAATGACCCTTTGGTTCTCAGGCCAGTGCTCAACCCACTGAGCCACATCAGCCAGGGCAATGTTTTAAAAATTCTTGCGGCACACTGGTTGAAAATTGCTGCTTTAACAGAAAGTTGTTTACTCATTCAAACAATGGTTATCAATTGGGAGTCATTTAAGTAAGCAGTCTTTTTTAAAGCCTCTTTATTACCTTTTTATATGGAAAAAAATTTACACAGGAAAGAGAATAGTATTATGATCCCTCTTGCCCACTTAGATTTAATAATTATTACGTTTTGCCATATTTCCTTTATTATTTTTTGTAAAGTATTTCAAAGTATAGCATGACATTTCACCCTTACATAATGCATCTCTAAAACAATAAGGAAATTTCAATACCATTAATTCTTCTAACAAGATTAATAAAAATTGCTAAATATTATCTTAATCCTAGCCTGCCCATATTTAAATTTCCTTAATTGTCCTGTCACTCTTTTTGCATTTAATTGCTGTCTTTTTATATGTGTGTATATTTTACTTAGTTTTATAAATCCTGCTTTGTTTGTTTTTATTAACTTTCTGTTTTGAAATAACTTTAAATTTACACAAAAGTTGCAGAGATTGAGTTACCTCTAGATATTAACATCTTACTTAACTTTGGTACACTTGTCAAAACTAATAAGTACTAAATGTTGGTATATTACTGTTAACTAAATTCAGACATTTTTCCTGATTTTGCCAGTTTCCTCACTAGTGTCTTTTTTTCTTTTTCAGGATCCAATCCAGGATCCACATTGCATTTAGTGTATCTTGTATTTTTGCTTTAACATTATGACACCTTGCAAAAATAAATAATCTTTATGGAGACTGGAGCCATGATGATTAAATATATAGCATGTCTTGAAGTGGGATTCTGATCAGAGAAAAAAAAATTTTACAAAAAGAAATTTTTTTAGATGTACTTGTGGTGTCACTGTCTAAGCAATTTTGTACATTGTCTTCAATAGTATGAGCATTTTCCCATGTCATTAACAACTTTTGGGGGTTTTTTTTGTTTTGTTTTTTTTTGGTAGCTATGTGGCCTTCCTTGCTATGGATGCATTGTGATTTCTTGTAGGTCAACAGCTTTTAAATTGCTTTCAATTCTTCCCCTGTTGAAACAGCACTGTGAAGTACATCTCTATGCATTAATTCTTTTTCATGTTGATGGTAATACCCATAAGTTTGTAGACATGCCATTACTAAAAAAAATAAAAAAATAAAGTCATAAAGAACATTATGTGGCCCTGACCAGTATGGCTCAGTTACTTGGACATCGCTCTGCAAAGTGAAAGATTGCCAGTTCGATTCCCAGTCAGGCCCTGACCAGTGTGGGGCATGTGCCTCGGGTGCAGGTTTGGTCCCTGTACATGGCACTTATGAGAGGTAACCAGTCGGTTTCTTTCTCACATCGATGTTTCTCTCTCTCTCCTCTCTCTAAACATAAAATAAAATCTTAAAAGCAAAAACATTATTTGGACAGTTGGTATAAATTTGATTTATGCAATGTTGGATAGATAATAGTATTGTATCAATATTTCTGATTTTGATAATTCTGTAATTATGTAGGAAAATTTTCTTATTTTTAGGAAATATATACTGACATATTTAGGGGTAAAAGTTTATGATGTTTGCAACTTATTCTCAGATTGCTTATAATGTATGTTTACGTGTATGGAGAAAGAGAGTTTGTATATATGAGTGTGTGAATGTGAATGATGAATAAATGGGGCACAATGTTAGTGATCAGTGAAATCTGGGCAAAGAGTATATGGGGTTTTTTTGTACTATTGTAATTTCTCTGATGTCAAAATAAAGTTACAAAAAATAGTCTTTATATAAGCAACCATTATTTTTCTTTCTGAAATTTTGTACTGCAAATTTTCAGTCACAAGACAAGTTGAAAGAATAGTGCATTCACCCTGACTGGTGTAGCTCAGTGGGTTGAGTGTTGTCCTGCAAACCTAAAGGTCGCTGGTTTGAATCCTCAACGAGGGCACAAAAGTGGGTTGTGGGTTTGGTCCCCTGTTCAGGGTGCATGCAAGAGGCAACCAATAGATATTTTTATCTCTCTCTTTCTCCTCTCTTTCCCTCTCTCAAAAAAGTTAATAAATAAAATCTTTAAAAAGAGAATAGTACTGCTTTGGCTGGTGTGGATTGATTGCTGCTCTGTGGACCAAACAGTTGCCAGTTCGATTCCTAGTCGGCACATGCTTGGGTTGTGGGCCAGGTCCCCAGTTGAGGGTGTGTGAGAGGCAACCATGTTTCTCTCCCTCTCTTTCTCCTTCCCTTCCCCTCTCTCTAAAAAAAATAAAATAATAAAATCTTAAAAAAAAAAGAATAGTACAATACATAAGTTGATTAACATTTTGTCATTTTTGCTTTATACACCTATCTCTATAGATGTAAAAACACATTTTTTTCTGAACCTTTTAAAAAAAGATTTCATTTATTCATTGTTAGAAAGAGGGGAAGGGAGGGAGAAAGAGAGGGAGAGAAACATCCATCGGTTGTCTCTCCCATGGCCCCAACCAGGGACTTGGCCAACAACCCAGGTATGTACCCTGACCAGGAATTGAAGTGACGACCTATTGGTTTGCAGGATGACGCTCAACCCACTGAAACACACCAGTCAGGGTTTCTGAACTTTTTAAAAGTAAGTTGTAGACATCAGGCCACTTAACTCTGGATACTTCAGTATGCACCTTCTCAGAATAAGGATTTTTCCCTTCTTAACCATAATACATTGTACATAATCACATGTAGGAAATATAATAATTAACTAATGTTACCTAATATGCAAACCATATTCACAATTTATTAATTGCCCCAAAATATCTTATTGCTGTTTGATTTTTAAACCAAGGTAAACTTAAGATTAGTTTAATTTAATTTGGTTGGTACAGTTCTTCAATCTCTTAATTATTTTTTTTGTTGTTTGCTTTAAATGATACATGCACTTTTTTTGGCGAGGCCAGACACATCTGGATTTGTTTGATTGCGTCCTCATTTAAACTATTCCCCTGAATTTTGGTAAACTGGAGTTAGGTATAAAACCTTGATTTGATTTAGGCTAAATATTTTTGGCAAGAATACTTTATAGGCAATGTTTATATAACATTCACCTGACAGAATGGTGTCCTGATTTGATTTATAGTGTTATGAATTAACCATTATTGAACATTAAGTTTGCATCTAGTTTTTTGCTACTCTAAGAAACGTTTTGAAAATTAATGTTTACATAAGATGTTATTCTGAAGTTCATTCTTCACAAGATACCCAAGCATGAAATTACTGGGTTAAAGACAGAACACGTTTTTGGGTAGCTCTGGTAGGTTCAGCTAATTTTAAGGCGAAAGATTTATACGATCTGAAGAGAAACCAGAATGTTAGATTCAGCTCATTTTAATTAGTGATTAGGCATGAAACCATCAAACTAGTTTTTAAATTGCTTTCAATATATTTATTTCCTCCTTTTCAGGGGCTAAAAGAAGTGACACTACTTGGTCAGAATGTTAATAGTTTTCGGGACACTTCAGAGGTCCAGTTCAACAATGCAGTGTCCACCAACCTCAGCCGTGGCTTCTCCACCAACTATAAAACCAAGCAAGGAGGCCTTCGTTTTTCGCATCTTCTGGATCAGGTCTCCAGAATAGATCCTGAAATGAGAATCCGTTTTACCTCTCCTCACCCCAAGGATTTTCCTGATGAGGTAAGTAATGATAGTTAACTGTGTCAAACTGATATTAGAATCCTTAAGCTTTTCTGTCTGGGGCAGACTGAACATGGTTTGAGCAAAAGTAAAGGATGTGGGTAGTTTATGTGTTTGGTTTAATTAGCTTCTTAATTGCTTGAAAATTACCTTTGGCAGAGAACAGTGTGGGTGGTATTCTTTTCTGTAAGATTCTTTTGTGAGACTTTGATGACCTTTAATGTGTTCTATTTGATCAGGTTCTGCAGCTGATTCATGAGAGAGACAACATCTGTAAACAGATCCACCTACCAGCCCAGAGTGGAAGTAGCCGTGTACTGGAAGCCATGAGGAGGGGGTCAGATTTGCTTGGGGAGGGGGTGTCCCACACCTTTCAATGTCTCCTTAAGAACTAGTGCCTAAATTTTTAGCATAATATGTGGTAGTTAGTAGTTGCTCAATAAATATGTGTTATATGAGTAAACTCATGGACATTGTAAATATAGACTAAGGAGTGGGTCACGCATTTCATTTGTTTAGCATGTTTTTTATTAAGCACCTACTGCATGGCACACTGAGTTTTTAATCCTTTGGCCTTTTTTTTTTTAAACACTTTTTAAAAAAGATTTTATTTATTTTTTAGAGAGAAGACTATGGAGGGAGAAAGAGCTAGAGAGAAACATTGATGTGCTAGAGAAACATCGATTGGTTACCTCTTGCATGCCCTCAACTGGGAACCTGGCCCACAACCCAGACATATGCCCTGACTGGGAATTGAACCAGCGACCTTTCTGTCTGTAGGCTGGCACTCAATCCACTGAGCCCCACCAGCCAGGGCAGTCCTTCAGCTTTTAACATTAACAGTTTTTAGGTCTTGGAATTAAGTGTAGCTCTATGTGCTCACTTATTTTGGGAATAATAAATATTGCAGAGATAAGACTGAAAGGAGCATGTGACAGATGGCAAGCTCTATGGAACTAGTATATTGCCTTGTTTTTGACATTGGCAAAATTTTAGAGATCTTTTTAAATATTCAATCTGTCTTCATTATTAGTTAAATACAGAATGCTACTTAAAATAATTTATGTTCTTGAACTAAAAATTCATAGGCCCTAGATTAGGTTAAAGTATAGGATTTGACTAGTTAGAGATCTTTTGGGTGCTTTAACCTACTCAGGATGAGAAATGATTGCATGTGGTAATTCATAGTGTTATCCTTTTATAGAAGTCATTTAAAGAAGATTGGTTCATCTAAGTCTTTTCTTTTTATTCTTTATTGCAGCTATTCAAGGGAAGCTTATGTGGAGTTAATTCATCATATCAGAGAGTCTATTCCAGGTACACTTAAGAAATGTATTCTGCATTACAGTGACCATAGGCTTTGTCAGATACAGGCAACGCCTCTGGCAGTACATTGAGACACATTTTACATTTCTTTTGCTTCTCTTCATTTCTGTCTTTTTTCTCTCTATTTTCTAATTTTTAAAATATTTTGGTCTTGCTAGACATACTCAGAGGTATGGATCAGCTTGTGGCCTCAAGGCTAAAGAGATTGATTTTCTAGTTTTTGTGTTTCTGAACATACGGGAGAGACTTTGGTTTTTCTTGTTAGTTGGCTAAGTTATATATGGTCTAAATTAGTTCTGATTTGTGTGTAATTGTTATATTTAAAAATGTGTATTAGAGGTAATTCCTTTCCTATTTATCTTAACCCTTTTCCTTTCCTTTTAATAAAATTATTCTGCCATGGGTGTCCAGCCTATGACCCACAGGTCGCATATGGCCCAGGATGGCTATGAATGCAGCCCAACACGAAATTGTAAATTTACTTAAAACACTATGAAATTTTTATGTGATTACATGTTGCAATTTACTTAATGTGTGACCTAAGACAACTCTTCCTCTAGTGTGGCACAGAGACACCAAAAGTTTGGACACCCCCGCTTTAGTTTAGATTTGGTTGACAATGTCTATGTTTTTTCCAAATTTCTAATTATTGTAACTTGTATTATGCATAGATACCTTCATTTTGATGGGACAGGATAGTGTGGAGGTTCTCTGGGCTGCAGTTTCATCATCTATAAAATGCAGTTAATAGTATTCACCTCATTGGATTATTGGGATAATTAAATAGGTTAGGATAAATACATAATAAATATAGTATTTAGTAAGTATTCAGTAAATAGTAGTTATTGTTACTATTTTAAGTGAACATTGAGTTCGACTAACTTCAAAAGTATATTTGTGTGGGGCACTGAAAGGTTTTACCAGTAAAAGCAGGACCAGTTTGAAAATGTCGACTCCTAACTGCATTCCTAACTCCCACATTTGAAGTGAAAATACTTTTTCTAAGCCCTGGTTGGTGTGGCTCAGTGGATTGAGTGCTGGCCTGTGATTCAAGGGGTTGCTGGTTTGATTCCCAGTCAGGGCACATGCCTGGGTTGAGGGCCCGGTCCCCAGTAGGTGGCATGTGAGAGGCAACCACGCACTGATGTTTCTCTCCCTCCTTCCCTTCCCCTCTAAAAATAAATAAAATAAAATCTTAAAAAAAAAAAAGTGATAATACTTTTTCTAGTACTGAGGGGAATGTAGACTGAGAAGCCAGGCTCTGGCATGGGAACTTGTAGGTAAGTAGGCCTGTCCCCTTGCTCTTACACTTGCACATGGGCTGAATAGCTCCAGGAAATGCCTTACAGTTGTGCTCCCTCGCCCTATAGCCCACAAGTGCCAAAGGCCTCTCTTGAAAGTAAGCAGCAGGTACATGCTGTCCTTTGTCTTTTGTTGTGTGTTGCAGGTGTGAGCCTCAGCAGTGATTTCATTGCTGGCTTTTGTGGTGAGACAGAGGAAGATCACCTCCAGACAGTGTCTTTGCTTCGGGAAGTTCAGTACAATATGGGCTTCCTGTTTGCCTACAGCATGAGACAGGTGAGCTTTGGGTTGGGGGAGGAACTGCTTCTGTACTGAGACTGACATCATTCCTGACCAGTTTGGGGTTGACTGTAGAAAACAGGGAAGAAAAGTGAGTGGCATAACTCTTGAGAAACAAGGATCTTTCCATTCATTTCTTTATTTTATCTAATCAACCTGTCTGCTATTTTATGTAATTCAGCAATTGGAGATGAAAAACAATTACCTGGGCCAACTTTTCTCTTTATTAGAATATTTTAAGTTATGTTTTTAGGTTGTTTAGGATTTGAAGGTGGAGGGAGAGACATTCTCTTTACAAGAAATCTAAAATCATTTCTCAACATGCAGAACTTCTTCTCTGGCTTACAGATGTGATTTGTTTTACAGAGGTTCATTGTCACCCTCCCAGCTATCCTCAGCTATTTTTAGTTTCCATTTTTCTAGGCCAAAAGAACTCACCTATACCCACTTTGGAGTTTCTCCTATAACACAGATTCCCAGATAAACAATGCAGAAGGAGAGAAGGAGCTTTGTATGTTTATCTTGTGTCCTGTGTCCTGTATCTTGTATCCTGAAGAGAAGGGATAGTCCTGGACCGCTGCCATTTTCTTTGTGGAAGGGATGAATTGTGAAGGTCATTTTTTATCCCCACAGTCACCCTGGGGGTAACTTGCACTGTGTTTGGGCTGTAGGCTGAGAAGCCTCAGTGGCCAGGGGCTCAGGAAAGCTGACTGGTGATTGAATGAACCCATGACCTTAGCCACTGTCAACTCAGCTGTCATTAATCGAGCTAATTCATGTCTTTTAAAGCCCACTGCCTAGTGTTCTATAGGTAGTGTAAGTGGACCAATGTGTAAATAAACCATAATTTGTTTTGCTAGTTACCTATTGACAAACATTTAAGCTGCTTTGCACCTTGTGGCTGAGTAACCTGGTACATGAGTTACTTAGTATATGTACAAATGTAACCTTTATCCTTAGGACATTCTATAAAATATCAAGAACAATTTTGAGCCTATGATTTTCATGTGCTAAATTTAGAATTTAGCCTTTGTGAAAACAGTGACTTCACTGTATAGCTACCTTTTTCTCTTAGAAGGCTCTCAGAACTAGAGAACCCTAGGGGTATGGCTTGGGTTTGCTGTATGTATGCCTGTAACTTGCAGGTGGAATGAACATGGTCCCCTGCTGTGCTGCAAGATGGATTCTACAGGTCCTTGGTGACCTCCCTCTCTCTTTTTTGTCCTGCATTGTCTCTCTCTCTCTTTTTTTTTTTAACAGAAGACACGGGCATATCACAGGCTGAAGGATGATGTTCCGGAAGAGGTAAAATTAAGGCGTTTGAAGGAACTTATCACTGTCTTCCGAGAAGAAGCAACAAAAGCCAACAATACCTCCGTGGGTTGTACACAGCTGGTGCTGGTAGAGGGGGTGAGACCTTATGTATATACATATATTTTATTCATTTTTTTTTGGATCATAATATGTCTCCCTTTATTTAGATCTTCTTTGATTCCTTTTATTGGTTTTTGTAGTTTTCAGTGTATAGATCCTGCACATGTTTTGTTAGACTTACACCTAAGTTTTGTTTTTTTTTTAAGCTATTGTAATTACTGTTGTTTTTAATTTCAGATCTCCATGTGTTCATTGTTAGCATATAGAAAAAATTGAGTTTTGTATGTTTATCTTGTATCCTGTGACCTTGCTTAATTCACATAATAGGTCCAGGAGGTTATTTTTGGTAGTTCTCTTGGGACTTTTTTGTGTAGATAATCATGTCATTGTGTTTTTTTCCCCTTCCTGATGTTCCTTCTTTTATTCTTTCCTTTCTGTGTAGAGAACTTCCTTTAACCACTCTGGCAGCAGATTCCCTTTGTTTTCCTTTATCTTAGAATGTCTCGATTTCCCCGTTCATTCCTGAATGATATTTTTGTACTTAGCGAAAGCATTAGGGAAAAGTATGTCTGCTCCATCTTTCTGGAACTCCACCAAAGGACAAGCTTGTTGATTTTAGAGAGTGGAAGGGAGGGAGAAAGACAGAGAGAAATATCAATGTCACATCAATGGGTTGCCTCTTATATTTGCCCCAATCAGAAAGCAAACCCACAACCTAGGCATGTGCCCTGACTGGGAATCGAACCTGCAACCTCTCAGTTCATGGGATGACACTCCAACCAACTGAGCCATACCAGCCAGGGCTAATTTCCTATAATTTTTGTGTGGTTGTGGGAGGAGGCAAGCATAGCATTTACTTACTCTGCCATCTTGATCAGAACTTTCTTGGTCTATTTCGGTTGACTGATTTTTCTCCTGATTATGGGTCACATTTTTATGCTTCTGGGCATATTTAGTGATTTTTGATCGGATATTGGACATTGCAGTGTTCATTTTTGAGTGTCTGGATTTTGCTTTGTGTGGTAGGCAGTGATATTACAGCTCAGTTTGATCTTTTCAAGGCTTGTTTTATAGCTTTGTTAGAAAAGCTTTCTTTTTTTTAAGATGGATTATTTCATTAAGACAAGGTTCGCATAACATAAAATTCACCATTTTAATCATTTTAAAATGTACAATTCATGACCAACTGACTTTTGACAAAGGTATGAAGGTAATTCAATGGATAATGGATAATGCTTTCTTTTCTTTAAATTATATTTTATTGATTATGCTATTGCAGTTGTCTTAGTTTTCCTCCCTTTGCCTTCCTCCACCCAGCTCCTCCCCACTCTCTCAGGCACTCTCCACCCTATTGTCCATGTCTGTGGGTCATGCATATATGTTCTTTGGCTACTCTAGTTCCTATGCTTTACCTTATATCCCCATGACTATCCTGTAACTACCAATTTGTACTTAATCCCTTCATCTTTTTTGCGCAAACCCCCACTCCCCTCCCATCTGGCAGCCATCACAATGTTTTCTATATCTATGATTCTGTTTCTGTTCTGCTTGTTTGTTTTTTTAGATTCAGTTGTTGACAGATGTATTTGTTGCCATTTTGTCGTTCATATTTTTGAATTTCTTCTTCTTAAAGAAGACCCTTTAACATTTGATATAATGCTGGTTTGGTGGTGATGTACTCCTTTAGTTTTTTCTTCTCTAGGAAGCTCTTTACCTGTCTGTTGATTCTAAATGACAACTTTGCTGGGTAATCTTGGTTGTAGGTCCTTGCTTTTCATGACTTCGAATATTTCTTGCCACTCTCTTCTGGCGTGCAAAGTTTCTTTTGAGAAATCAGCTGACAGTCTTATGCGAACTCCCCTGTAGGTAACTAACTGCTTTTCTCTTGCTGCTTTAAAGATTCTCTTTGTCTTTAACGTTTGGCATTTTAATTTTGATGTGCCTTGGAGTGGGCCTCTTTGAGTTCATCTTGTTTGGGATTCTCTGTGCTTACTGAACTTGTATGTCTATTTCCTTCACCAAGTAAGGGAAGTTTTCATGCATTATTTTTTCAAATAGGTTTCCAATTTTTTGCTCTTTTCTTCTTCTGGTACCCTCCTGATGCAAATGTCGGTACACTTGAAGTTGTCCCAGAGGCTCCTTACACTATCCTCATTTTTTTGGATTCTTTTTCTTTTTGCTGTTCTGATTGGTTGTTTTTTGCTTCCTTATATTTCAGATCACTGATGATTCTCAGCTTTATCCTACCTACTGGTGATTCCCTGTAAATTGTTCTTCATTTCAGTTAATGTATCATTCATTTCTAACTACTTCTTTTTTTTTTTTGGTTTCTATGTCCTCTTTTAAGGTCTTGAAATTCTCTCTGAGTTCTGCTCTTCCCCTAAGTTCATTGAGCATCCTTATCACCAGTGTTTAGAACTCTACATCTAGTAGCTTGCTTGTCTCCATTATGTTTAGTTCTTTTTCTGGAGTTTTGTTCTGTTCTTTCATTTGGCCATATTTCTTTGTTGCCTCATTTTGGCAGCCTCCCTCTGTTTGTTTCCATGTATTAGGTAGAGTGCTATATCTCCCAAGCTTGGTAGAGTGGCCTAATGTACTAGGTGTCCTGTAGGGTCCAGTAGCACAGCCTCCCCTATTACCAAAGCAGAGTCCTTGAGATGCACCCACTGGATGGGTTGTGTACACCCTTCTATTTAGTTGAGCTTTGATTGCTCTTGGCACGTCCAAGGTCAGCCACAGCCTGTATTCTGTCCAGGGTCACACAGCATAAGTTACAAAACAATCTGTAAATGTCTGCTACTTGTTCTGGGCTTGGAGATGCTCAGGCAAGGCCTAGCCATGAACCAAGGCTGTCTGCTACTAGTGCTGGGCCTGGGGTGACTTAGTGAGAGGTATGGACTCACTGAAGCCAGATGCTGCTTGTTTGAAAGGATTTAAGAAAATCTGAAGCATGGGCCAAGACAAAGCCATTGGTATGGATAAGCCATTAGAAACGGCTTGGGTTGGCCTGCAAGTTGAATGGGGCAGGGCCTCAGAGAATCACCAGGGCGGGGCAAACAGGGTGAGCCAGGTTGGTGGAGTCTCCGATATGGAGCCCGCCTGCCAGCTCTATGGCTGTGTGGGGCCCAAAAAAGGAAAAGTGGCCTCTGCCAGCACTTTTGTCAGGGAGAAACCTGTCTCCCAGCTCTCGCCCTGAGGCTGGACAGTTCAGTTCCTCCCTATATATTTCTGGTGCCTTTGAATCTGCTGCCCTGTGCTGGAGCTCAGAGTGAGTGAATCAGAGTGTCTGTGTGTGGGCCCTTTAAGAGGAACTTCCAGGGATTCTAGCGGTTTTTGTCTTTCAAAGCCTCAGTCCCTACTCATTTTTACAGCTGGAAGTTATGGAGACTTATCTTCCTGGCACTGGAACCCTGGGCTGGAGGGCCTGTTGTGGCGCTGGAACCCTTCACTCCTGAGATATTCCTCCCAATATGTATCTACCACACGTGGGTGTAGGACCAGCCCATTCTGTGTGTCTCTCTCTCCTACCAGTCGTGATGTAGTTTGTTTTTTAATTCTGTAGTTGTAGGACTTCTATTTAGCTTGGTTTCTGACGGTTCTGAATGATGGTCATTATATTGTTTAGTTGTAATTTTGATGTGGTTGTGCTAGGAGGCAAGCTATGTTTATCTGTGCTGCCATCTTGACCGGAAGTCAGGAAAGCTTTTTTATTGTAGGGATAGTTTAGCCTCATTTCTACTTTTTGGCTCTCTCGAGTCACTACTGCATAGTCTAAGGAATCAATGAGGACTATTTGGTGGTAGATCAAATGATTCCCAGCCCTCTGTAAGCTGTTAGCTCTGGGAGCTGATTAGCTGACAGTTCCCAGTTACTTTCTTTGCCTAACTTCATGAAGTTTCTCTCTGTAGAGAAGCATGTAGTAATAGTATTTAGCAAATAACCAAGGCATCCCTTTGCACATTTTTATAGCTCTTTTTCTGCTTATCTCCCCCCGTCTAGAACTTGTTCCCCAATTTCTGGTTATGCAGGCTCCCTGTACTCTGATCCCTGAATCCAAAGAGAGTCACGATGCTCTGCCTTGAGATTTTCCTCCCTGCTTTGCATACTCTGCCCGGCATGCGCCTTCTGGCAAAACACAGGGGTGACGGGAGGGCTCATCTCATTTGTCTCCCATTTCTTGGGGATCACAGTCTTATACAATCTCTGTTGTCCAATATCTGAAAAATAGTTATTTCATACCTTTTGTCCAGTTTCCCGGTTATTTAAGGCTGGAGGATAAATTTGGTTCTTGTCACTTCATCATGCCTGTAAGAGAAAGACTTGTGTATATTCTAAAAGTTAATTCCATCATTCTGGTTTTATTATGCTCTTGACCTTGTTGTCTGCATGTTGTGATGGAGACTCTGATTTTAAGCCTGCCTATTCATTAGGGGCAAATAACCCAGGCCAAACAACCCCAGAACATTCCTGGGTATTACTGTGAAACTGAGTAAAGTAAAAATTGCTTTGCCAAGGACATCACTCATCTATCCTTGGTTTCAGGCCTCTTGGAAGTGTATTCCTGCTGACAGAAATTTTGTAATCAAAGACTCATTGATTGAGTCATTTCACTAGTGTAGAGTCAGCAAAACTTTACTGAATTTCTTTTGTGTGCTATGTACTGCCCTTGTTGGTGGAACAGTAGTCAACAGTCTTCTTCAGAGATTCCTTGGTTAAGGAAGGCTCTGTGAGTAAGACCATTAGAGGTCTGAGACAGAGAAGTCATAATTTATGCCTTCCACGGACTGATGACTGTGACAGTTTCATAAAGTCTCTTCTGTTCTTTCTGCAGCTCAGTAAACGCTCTGCCACTGACTTGTATGGCCGGAATGATGGAAACCTTAAGGTGATATTCCCTGATGTAGAGATGGAGGATGTTACTAACTCTGGGCTCAGGGTCAGAGCTCAGCCTGGGGACTATGTGCTGGTGAAGGTAAGATGTCCTTTTGGGTTTTTGCACTGTGAAATGGAGTGTTGGACTGGATAATTTGAGAGGACAATTTTTTTTTTTCCCCCAGAGAAATTCTTTAATTAAATAAAAATCTTTTCTCAACCTGAACAATAGAAGGGCACCTTGAATTGAATTTTAGACTGTTTTAAAGTCATACCTTCTTGTTTTCCTTCTCCTCTACCCTGTAAGGGCTTTTTCTGGGAGTTTGGTGAGGTTGGAGTATATAGTAGCATGTGGTTTTCTGTTGCTGAAAGGCCAAGAGGTATAAGTGTTTTTTAGTGAGTTTATAGTTCTTGAAGTACCAGGAATTTAAAAGTAGCTAGCTCAGGGTCACACAACTAGCAAGTGGTAAAGTAGGGATTTGAACTGAGGCAGCCCAGGTTCTGTGTCCACATTTTTAACCATTGTATCATTCAGCCTTTCTGATAGTTCTTTCTGTTAGATTAGCATGCCTTTTAAGGTCTCTGAGGCTCCAGGCATTCCTAACCTACACGTGCTCCAGGTTCCTGGATCCCTTTCCTGGACTAGCAGATCTAGCTAAATGACTGTGGAATTTCCCCTTTCTTCTTTTTCCCCTTTCACTGGAGATAGTCATCCTTTCTTCCCTCCTGCCTTTACTTTCTTTCCTCCTTTTCTTCTTCCACTACCACAGATCTGCTGTTGCCATCTTAGTTCCCTTTTGGTCCTCATGTCCACTTTGCCCCAGAACTAGAGGCTGGCAGGACACATACTGATGAGGTAGGCAGGAGCAAAGCTGCTTCTCCAACACTGAACTCTGGAGCATCTGCAAAAGAGAGAATATTTCTTTTTCTTCTTCCACTGATCAGTGTTTTGTTCTCTTACTTATTTCTTAGTGCATTACTCTATTCTTTGCTTCCTGTACTTGCTCTTACTGTTACCTTCATCTTGAGTCATGGGAGCTATTGTCTATGGCTTGCAGCTAAGGGAGGCTCACCTCCTTACCCTAGCACATAACTTTTTTGGATTGGCCTGCACATTTTTTACCAACACGTAGAGCTTTACTGTTCTGTCCATCTGACAAAACCTTGCAACACTATCAATTTGCTGGTTGGTGACTTTATGATCCTACTCCTTTCTGTCCTTATCCTGACTGGGGATTGTCTTAAACATTGCCTAGGAATTTCCTAAGTAGAGTAATTCCTACTAGTATAATCTGACATAGGCTTCTCTACTTGTTCTTTCTTTCTTTCTTTTTTGTCGGTCTTAATTTCTTATTTCTTTCTCTTCTGAATGTTTGTTTCTTTGATTTTTAGTTGCTTTCCTTTACCTCCTTCTTCTTTCTTTACACTGTAACTAAGGGTCACTTGAAAAAAGGGATGAAATTTGTGGGTTGGGTCATGATGTTAGTATGATATTCTTTTCTAAAATGGAAAAATTCTATTTTCTAAGAACGATAGAAAGTTATGCTGTATTACTTGGTACTCTCTTTTATTCCCAAGTTTCATAAGCTCTACAAATAAGATTTAGTAGGAGAATCAAAATGAAGGAGGAGCTGTGGAACCAGGGATCTGTTGGCTCTTTCTTTCTGTTGCTCATCTTTGCTGTCCTCATTTGCCTTCACTTAAAGTCTTTGGGCTGTGCTAGAACCTCTCCCTCATAAATTTCACTTTCTTGTCTCCCATTCTTCCATGGTGCTTGGTTGGCTAAACTCTAATTCTGGCAAAAGTAGTTATCTGCTTCCTGTACATCTGCACCCTATCAGCTGAACATTGCTGGGGAAAAGCACAAAGCTAATCTGTACTATACAGATTAGGTCAGATGATGGTGATTGAAAACTCAAAGTATAGTGGCTTAAATAAGGTTGAGTTTCGTTTCTCAGAATCTAGATATGGGAGGTCCAGGACCGATGATTATGATGGCTCCATGATCATCAGGAGCCCAGGCCCCTTCTGTTTTTGTTCTGTGTGTGTGTGGTCTCCATTCTCAAGGCTGCCTCATGGTCCAGGATGGCTTCTCCAGCTACCTGTCTGTGTTCTCGGTAGCAGGAAGAAGAACAGAGAAGGACATGCCCTCCTCCTCCTTTTAGGATACTGCAGACGTTCCACACACTATATCTGTCCTAGTAACGCAGCACACCAGGCTTCAAAGAATCTGAGAAATGTGGTCTTCATTCTGAATGACCACGTGTCTAGTTAAAAATAGGGAGTTTTGTTTCTGAGGAAAGAAGAGGAGAAATGTTGGGAGATAAGTAACAGTCTCGTCCACATAAACTGACTGCACTCAGGTAAAAGTCATGACCACAAAACTCAAATGAGCACTGAGCATGGCTCCGAAATCCTGACCCTAAGATATTTTCCTAGTATATTGACTTTCCCACTCTCTTTCTAAATCTTCATCTACCTATCCAAACTTGAGTCTCAGTGATATCTGCCTTATATTTTATAGAGAGAATAGATATAGTCAGATGAAACTCCATTGTCTCATCATTATTGCCACCAGCTCACTTACATCTCTACCCATGCATGTTGTCTGCTTGCATGGCACTGTATAGGGAGCAGCTGCTCCGTGTGCCTTCTCTTCCATCCCTCCCCATCTTCTCAAGAGTTTTGCATTATCTGCTTTCTCTTGCATCTTAGAGTTAATGTGGCCAAAATAGAATGAATTCTTCCCACTTCCATTTTTGTTGCCACCTCAGTAAATGGCACCACTCAGTTGCTCAAGTCAAAATCTTAGGAATCATCCTAGATACTCGCTTTCTGTACTCCCATCCACAGTCGATCTGTGTCAGCTCTTTTTACGGAATATATCTTGAACCTGACCATTTTTTTTCCATCTCCAAGCCACCATCACTTCTTGGCTGGGAGACTGAAGTATCCTCTACACTGGTCTTTTGCTTCTATATTTTAAAATTGAATTGATTTAATAAAATAGCTGAAGTCATTGTACTATTTTACACTCCCACCAGCTGTGCATGAGAATTCCAGAGGCTTCATATTTCCTGCTTCTGTTCCTGCCCTCCTCTAGTCTATCTGTCCCACTGTGGGCAATGTGACCCTTATAAATCAGATTATTTACTCCTCTGCTTAAGCCCTCCAAAAGCTTCTCATATGAGCCAGCACGAAATGCAAGGTGTCCTAAGGAAGGATTTGACCGGTCCCGCCTGGAGTACAGCTTACCACTGCTGTAGTAAGTCTGTGATGGGCATCTCACTCCTGCACCTGTCTGGCTGGTGCTGGGAAGGAGCCATCTTCCAAGAGAAAAGGAAGAAGTGGCTGTTTGGGACTGACTAATTTTGGACTTTTAAAATTACATGCATTACCATTGCATCAGACACCTTTTCCTCCCAGGAATGGGGGGATACAGGAACCATGCAGTCTCTGCTGTCCTGTCATCCCCGTCAGGTCCCTCTTGGTGGCCCCTCCCCTTGAGGCTCCACGTTATTTCCATGGGGTGCAGCCTTGGTTACCTTGCCTTCTCCTGACTGGTTATCTTTCAGATTACCTCCGCCAGCTCTCAGACACTTAGAGGGCACCTTCTCTGCAGGACGACGCTGAAGGACTCCTCAGCACATTGCTCAGTGGAGTGATGGCTTCAGAGTTGACGTGGGCGTCCTTCCCAACAGGAAGGGAGATGTGACTGGTCACTAATGAAAGAGGTAATGAAGCTTTGAAGACAAGCTGCAAGTGGTGAAGCAACTTTATGACAAATGGGAAATGTATCTCTTTGTTGCTACATGAACAGCCTTTATAATCATTAAATTTACCTAAACTAAAGTAGTCCCTCTGTCTCTCTTACTTTTATGTCATTTTTGTCTTGGTTAGTGTTCCTGGGATTTTCTCTAGACTCTAGAGTGTGTCAAGTGTTTCCCAGCCCAGTTTCAGCTGTGGACACTGCTAACCTTCCTGGTTTTCTCCCCTGGGCCCTAGGAGTTAGAGACTGAAGGGCAAGGGAAGGCAGAGAAAACCATTTATTTGGGAAAAACTGCTTTAGATCTTTCTAACATTTTGGTTTGATGACACTGACTCACCTGCTTATCTCCTCATTTTATTCTCATATTTTACCAGAAGATTTCTTTTATGGACTTCTTTTTATAGCCTGTCAGTTAATTCTTTGCCTTCAGGTCTGACAGCACTTGGAGTTTTCGAAGACATCATTACCTATTAGAAGGCTTTGAACACTCATTCTTGGCCCATTCACTACTAAGATTATGTCATTCTGTGGGTATCATAAAAAAAAAAAATCCAAAATAGGGTAGCGTGGGATATTTTGGAGTCAGAAGGACTTTGGTTCAACTCCCCACTCTGTTGCTTAAGAGTTGTATGAACTTGCATAGTTACTTTATTCTTCTGTGCCTCGGTTTTCTCATGGAACATGGGTATAATAATAATAAAATGTTTACCTCACCTGGAGTCCAGTGAGATTATACTTGTAGAGTTTATTTAGCATTATGTATGGAACATAGTAAGTTCTTATAAAGTGAGAGCAATCACTGAATAATTTTGCTCCTAAAACAGGGGACATATATTAGGATGTTCTGAGGCTTTTATTGTGTGTCTGCCCTTCATGTCTTTTGACTCTTTCACTGACCTGCACGAATGCCTTTGGGAACCCCAGACTAGGAACCTCTTCCTCAGGTGCTGGCTTGGCCCAGGAAGGTTGGTTTCCGCTCCCAAGGTCCATCTTTTACTGAGGAAAACATTTGTTTTGGCTCTTCACCTTCATCCTCTCTTCAAAAGGCATTTTAAAACAAATTTTGATATTTTATTGTACTTTTTATGAAAAAAACACATTGTAAATCATTCAGACAATCCAATAGGTATCTATAATTGATCAGTTTCCCTCCTACCACTTTTTCGTAGTCCCCTAATTCCCTTTTATGAAGGCCAGACTTTTTGATAATTTTCTAATATGTGTTTTCAGAAATAATCTCTGTATATAGGGTAGTGTGTGTATTTATTTGACACTAACGGTTAAACACTATGCACACTGTTAATAGCTTTATTGAGGTATGTGTAATTGATGTACATATTTGAAGTGTACAGTCAAATCAAGATAGTGAATATATCACCCCTGAAATTTCTCTCATGTCCCTTTATAGTCCCTCTCTGATCCCCGATCCCCAAGCAACCATGGATTTTCCTGTCACACATTTTGACAAGTTGTATTTTCATTTTTATTAATTTAAAAACTACTTTTTTAATGTCCACTTTCATTTCTTCTTTGACCCATGGATTATTTAGAACTGGGTTATTTAATTTCCACATATTTGGGGATTTTCCTGAGATCTTTATGTTACTAATTTCTAATTCTGCTGTGGTCAGAGAATATACTTTGTATGACTTTAATTATTTAACTTTATTGAGACTTGTTTAATGGCTCAGCATATTATCTGTCTTGGTAGATATTCAGTGTATACTGGAGAAGAATATGTATTTTCCTGTTCTTGGGTGTAGCATTCTATAAATGCCAATCAATTCAGGTTGTTGTTCAAGTCTATAATGTCCTTGCTTTATATCTATGAAGTATCTTCTATCAAGTATCAAGTTCTATCAACTATTGAGGGAGGGGTATTGAAATTTCTGAAGATAATTATGGATTTGTCTCTTGGCCTCTTGCAATTCTATCATGTTTTGCTTCGTGTATTCTGAGGCTCTGTTAATAGGCAAATAAACATTTAGATTTTTTTTTTAATTTTTAAAGAAAAAAGAATAAAGAAGCTCTTTATCGATACAGAATCATCTCTGGGATATATTGTTAAGTAAATAAAAGCAAAATGGGGACTGATATAATAAACATTTAGAATTTTTATGTTCCCTTGATTGAGAGATCCCTTTATCATTATGAAATGACCTTCTTTGACTCTAGTAATACCTTTTGTTTTGAAATCTACATTGTCTAACATTACTGTAATCACTTTGGCTGACTCCCTTTTTCTTGAGAATAAAATTTCATATAGCATTAATTTTGCCATTTTAAAGTATACAATTTATGGTTTTTAGTGTATTCACAAGGTTGTGCAACTGTTGCCACTGTCTAATTCTACCACATTTTCATCTCTACCAAAAGAAACACCATACCCATTGGTGGTCACTCCACATCACTCCTCATTGTTTCCTCCCCCTGTCCATTGGCAAACATTACTGTAGCTCTGTGCCTGGATTTGCCTATTCTGGGCATTTTATGTTAATGTGATCATATAGTATGTGGCCTTTGTGTTTGACTTCTTTCACTAAACATAATGTTTTCAAGGTTTATTCATGTTGCATAATGTGTCAGTACTTCATTCCTTTTTTATGGTAAAATAATGTCAATCCGTGTAATACTACATATTAATAGAATATTGATTCTGTTACATTCCTCTTACTATTTCTAGGTCTACTTATATTTTCCATTTCTTCAGTCATATTTGGTAGTTTGTGTGTTTTGAGGACTTTGTTCATTTCAATCAGATTATCTTAATTTGTTGGCATGCAGTTCATATTCCTTTATAATCCTTTTATTTCTTTAAGATAGGTAGTAATACTTAGCAATTTTCCATCTTTCATTTCTGATTAGTAACTTGAGTCTTTCTTTTTTTCCTTGTCTAGCTAAAATTGAATTTTGAAGGAACCAACTTTTGTTTTCATAGATTTTTTAAAAAGATTTTATTTATTTTATTTTTAGAGAGAGAGAAGGAAGGGAGAAAGAGAGGGTAGAGAAACATCTATGTGTAAGAGAAACATGGACTGGTTGCCTTTTGCATGCCCCCAACTGGGGACCTGCTCACAACCCAGGCATGTGCCCTGAGCAGGAATCAAATCAACAACCTTTTGGTTTGCAGGCAGATGCTCAACCAACTGAGCCACACCAGCCAGGGCATCATTGATTCTTTTGATTTTCTATTCTCTATTTCACTTATTTATCTCTGCTCTAATCTTTATTATTTCATTCCTTCTGCTTGCTTTGGGTTTAGTTTGCCCTTCTTTCTCTAGTCCTTAAGGTAGAAGGTAATTTATTGATTCAAGATCTTTCTTATTTTTCTTGGTCTTTCTAAAAAAGGGCTTTATTTTTTTTTAGAGCAGTTTTAGTTTTACAGCAAAATTGACTTGAAAGCACAGAGAATTCCCAATATACCTCCTGCCGCCATACATGCACAACCTTCCTCACTATCTATCCCACACCAGAGTGGTATATTTGATGAACCTACCTTGATTCATTATTATCAACCAAAATCCATAGTTCACACTAGGGTTCTCTCTTGGTATACACTTTGTGGGTTTTGACAAATGTATAATAACTCGTATCCATTACGGTATCATACAGAACAGTTTCAGTGCCCTAAAATTAATCTGTGCTCTGCCTATTCATTTTTTACTTCCCCCAATCCCTAGCAACCACTGAATTTTTTTACAGTCTTCATATTTTTGCCTGTTCCAGACTGACAGAGTTGGAATCACACATTATGTGGCCTTTTCATATTGGCTTTATTCACTTAGTAATGTGCATTTAAAGTTCCTCCATGTATTTTTATGGCTTTGTAGCTCACTTCTTTTTACTACTGAATATAATTCCATTGTACGGATGTACTACAAGGGCTAAATGTATTTATCCGTTCACCTAATGAAGGACATCTTTGTTGCTTTCAGTTTTGGCAATTATGCGTAAAGCTGCTGTAACCATCTGTGTACATGGATTTGTATGGACATAAGTTTACAACGTATTTGTGTAAACACCAGGGAACATGATTGCTGGATAGATAATATGGTAAGATTATGTGTTTATGTTTAGTTTTGTAAGAAACTGCTGAGCTTTTCCAAAGTGGCTGCACTGTTTTATATTTTCACCAGCAGTGAATAAGAGTTCCTGTTCCACATCAGTGTCACCATTTGGTAATGTCAGTGTTCTGGGTTTTAGCCATCCTAGTAGGTGTGTAGAGGTATCTCTCTGTTTTATTTACAATTCCTTGATGCTTATTTTCATACATTTATTTGCTGCCTTTGTATCTTCTTTGGTGAGGTGTCTGTTTTGATTTTTTGTCCACTCTCTAATCAATTGTTAATTTTTAAAGATTTTATTTATTTTTAGAGAGGGGAAAAGAGGGAGAGAAATATCAATGTGTGGTTGCCTCTCACGCACCCCCAACTTGGGGGACCTGGCCTTCTACCCAGGCATGTGCCCTAGACGAGGAATTGAACCAGCAACCCTTTGGTTCATAGGCCAGCACTCAATCCGCTGAGCCACACCAGGCAGGGCAGGTTTTTAATTTCTTAATGCAGGATTTTAAGAGTTCCTTGTATATTTTGAATACCAGTCCTTTATGAGATGGGTGTTTTGCAAATAATTTCTTCCAGACTGTGGCCTATCTTCTCATTCTCTTAACTGTATCTTTCAGAGAGCCAAAGTTTTTAATGAAGTCCAACTTATCAATGCTATCTTTCTTGGATTGTGCTTTGGTGTTATACCTTAAAAAATCATTGCCAAACTAAAGATGATCTTGATTTTTCTCCTATGCTATCTTCTAGATTTCCATAGTTTTACATTTTATATTTAGATCTTTAATCCATTTTGAGTTAAATTTTGTGACAAGTGTAAGGTCTCTAGATTCACTTTCTTTTTCCCCTCACATGTAGATGTCCAGTTATTCCAGCACCTTTTGTTAAAAAGATGATCTTTCCTCATTGTATTACCTTTGCTTGTTTGTCAAAGAGCAGTTGATTTTATTGGGTTGGCCAAAAAGTTTTAGTTTTTTCTGTATGATGTATTTAACTTCATTCAAAACAATTTTGTTAGGTTGTATTGTGATGACTATCATATCAGTGTGCATTTAACAAAAAACTTATCAAAATTGGTGAATTTTTGTGCAGCCTTTTAATATTGAAGATGGAAGAAAATATGCAACATTTTTGGCATATTTTGTTTTATTGTTTCACAAGAAGGTGAATACTGAACTGAAACACCAAAAAAGATTTGTATAGTGTATAGAGAAGGTGCTGTGACTAATCAGACATATCAAAAGTGGTTTGCAAAAGTTTCTTGGTACTGTTGACATTTTGGCCAAATAATTCTTTGCTGTGGGGCTCTCTTATGCATTGGAAGATGTTTAGCTGCACCCCTGGCCTTTGCCCACTAGAACAGCCAA